CGGACGACGCCACCCGCCCCGACCTGCCCCGCCCACCGAACCTTTCTCGCGAGCGACTTCTCGCCATGACATGCGTGGGCTTCTGGAATCCTCCGCGAGTTGGAATAACGACGAAGGTCGTTTTGTTGGAGAGAATGATTTCGATGAAAAACAACAACAAAGAATATATATTCCGAAGGCTTAAATTATGACAATCTGCTTCAGACCATTAATTTGGCAACGGCAGACAGACATTAACGGCTTAAACGCATTTCGTTTTTCTGTTCACGATCGAGATTTCGCTCTTGCTATTGTAAATAAAATAAAATACGAGCCGTAACAATAGTGATTGAATTAGTATTTCAACATAGCGGAGAACACACAAGATCCCGCACGAAAACCATGAATCCCTTCAAGGGGTATTTAACAGATAAAGTAAATGTTGTATTACCTTTCAGACAAATTTCGGCATAAATTTCGGTCAATACGTCAAAGTCCTAAACGCTTTATACAATTCTATTATTATTATTATTATTATTATTATTATTATTATTATTATTATTATTATTAATTAGTGCAAGGCATGTGGAAGGGCATTAACCTCCCTGTCACATTGCGCAAACAGATAAATACTCGTTATCGTCGTATTGTTGCACGCTAACCTACTCTAGCGGTGGGCTCGAGTACCTGGGTGGGAGGCATCGCGGCGGCCGAGGTAGGGGTGGGGATGGGGTGGAGTGGGGTGGGGTGGGGGAGGCAACAGCGCGGGGGCAGTGTGCGGCCTTGACACTCTGCGCAGTCCGCGCGGCGGCGGCGGCGGCATGGAAAGTGGAGATAGAGAAATCGCGCGGAATCGACGAGAAGCAGAGCGACCGAAAGAGAAACCGTCATGGCAGGTGGGAGCCAGACTGTTGGAAACGTTCGCCAGACTGTTGAATGACGTACTAGCGTAAGAGACAAACGAGATCTGGGAGGCGATCTTGTCAAATCAGATCCTTACAAGCTTTCGTACTAAAATCTTTAATTCGGCTAAAACGTAATATAACCACTCCAATTGCATCAGAATTACACAAATCTTCACGTGTTATGGACTTTAAACTTATTTCTCACACGTACTAGGTTTTCTCTGAGCTATTTTCCATCACAATAGGCGCATAGTGTTACGTGCATTTTAGAATATCCAAATACACTTTTCCATCTTCAAGTTCAAGTTCAAGTTCATCTTCAAGTTCGGATTCCGTTCGCCTCATCATTTGCTTTCTAACGCCCTCTTCCTGGTAGGAGACGTGGTACATGCCTGTTCAATTTTTGTTGAGTTTTACTACAATATGCAATCGTACAACACGCTTTACCAGCGTCTCGAGTTGTTACAAAGAAAAGTAGATATTTTAACGAGTTACGTGCTAGCTCCCCCCCCTCCTCCATCTGAAATAACAGGACACCCGATTAAAATGGCTGCTTGCTACCGTAGTTTCAGGAAACGACAATATAGTGCATGAAACAGTAGTTAAATAATGAAGTACTATGGATATTCCCTCGCCTGCGACGCTTACACTAAACACACACGGACACTTAATCAAAATTTCCTAAAACGAGTACTTTAACATTGCAACTCGGTATCTCCGACTTCTTAAAAATGGGACCTCTGAGTCCCATCGGCTGCCCCGCTTGGAGATGGCGCCGTGTTCTACAACTCTCGTATCGTGAGCCGAACGACGTTTCGACGAGGAAATGACACACCGGGGCGGGACAAGGCTGTGGGCGGCGGGGCCCCAACTTATCTGCGCATTAGCAGGTCGTTGCTCGCCCGGTTCCGAGCCTATCGCCGCCCCGCACCGCACCGCACCGCACCGCCGTCGGCTACCTCCCTGACAGGCTGCTTCGCGCTGCAAAAGCGCGTTATCATGGAGGTTTCCGCATTGCAAAACTATCCCCCCTCCCCCTCGCCAACCTTCCCTCACCTGCCGCGTTCCTAAAGGCGAAGGGCAGCGGCGGATATGGGCGGATATGGGCACAAATAGGGAACGCTCCCCTGACCGTCCTTTTTATCTTTACGCGATTGTGGGAAGGGAGGCGGCGTATGTTTTCCACTGAGATGGTCTCCCCCGTCTTGTTTCATAACTTGCGAACAAATTAATCGCATTTGGCTAAAGCGATTCTTCAATATGGCGGTGATATAGCGTACACAAAGCTTTTTGAAAAATGAATGTCGAGAATACTTGCAAGATAGAGTATTCAAAGGTCTAACGCTAAATTATTTAATGGAAAGTAGCTACGGTCATAAATATTGTAATACCATATAGTCATATCGCACACTCGTCCTTTTGAAAACCGTACTCAAATGTCAGAAGTTGCGCCACCTTTTGTTATATAAATTACACACCTCGAACCTTCTTAAAACGTGACTTAAGACTCGAAGAAAACAGACAACGCACATAATTGATAAAGAGAGCAAATACGTTTCAACAGACTAAAACAAGCACACGACGGAACGAACAGACCGGAGGTGCCTGAAATGAACAAACGCCTAGGACAAAAGAAAACGAGGCCTCACCCCTTGACAGATGCCAAGCAGAGGCTTTGATGCAGCGTCGTTCCAACCGAAAAACCCTGAGGGTATTTCTGCGGTCGCGGCGAAAGTGACGAATAAAACGCAAACAGCGATCCAGAAGTGTGGTATTTTCGGCGCTCGTCTCGTTACGGCGCACAGATTCTATCAGAGGAAACCGACGTCAACGCGGAACGAGCAAAGGGGGAAGACGATGGGAGAAGAGGGTGAGGACAGAACGCGGATCTTGCGAGATGCGTTACGACGCGATTGCTTTAACGAGAAACAACTTGGACTAAAACTTAAAAAGACGAAAATATACAACGATATCAAGAAATTGGAGCTGCTGCACTCATTGAAAGCGAAAGAATAAACATACTTAGAAAATGTCGAAAGAAACAGAAGATTTATGAAACTACGTTGGTCGAACATTAAAAAGAGAAAAATTGATGTTGGAAATTGTTAGAAGAGTTGTAATTTATTAAGTTCAGATGGAACGACAGAACAATAATGATAGTACGTCGTCTTTATTTAAAAACTATGTTTGAAAAGCAAGTGACACTGTTCATAATATACAGGTCTACAGTTCTTGATATACTGCCGACGACACGGAGTTGGCTCAACTGCCCAAGACGGGAAACCATTCGAATGTGACGTCATCGGCAAATATGGAGGCGCGGTCTTGTTTGTTCTCCGCGGGAGCGCTGGCAGAGAAGCGGTCAGCGACGGACACGGGATCCGGGTTCGAAAACTGGCTGCGGCAGTTCGAAGAATCTTTTTTAAAACTCGTTCCAAATAAACACTGGACAATTTGTCTTCGTGCCTACACTGTACAGTCACAGTACCTACGTTGGGTGCACAGCTCTGGTCGCCAACAATGCTGGACATTGTGCCAGCAGGAGTGCGTACTTCACAAGTCTATTGTCTTCGATCGCAGGCCTTAGGCAATGGTTGCACATAGAAGGATCGAAGTAATGCTTAAAGATTGCCTCTCCTTTTGGGTCGCCCTCGTTAATAACCCTTGTAAACGTTGATGAGAATAAATAATAACTAACAATATAGTGCGTCGAAGTAATGATAAGTCACCAAGTTAACCACATTTATTTCCAATGTTTTAATGAAAGTTTAAATTTGAAAGAAATACAGTACGTGAGAAGTTCCAGTGAACGTAGTCTACGAGTGTGTCAGAAAGAATAAAAGACCAATTAGGAAATATCGCAATTGTATCCTATATCATTAAAAAATTAAATAAAATTCCGAACAATGAGAAACATCAAATTTAAGTCGACTTTGCGGCGTTTAACGCTAAGATTGTCCGATTCAAAATGTCAGGTACTTTTTAAATTAACATTTAAATATGTGATAATGAATTAATGAATTATGACTGCAGTGGGATCTTAGAGAGCAAAGATAAAATGCGATGTTTGCTTATTTGTTTCACCTAACTAATATCAACAACTCTAAATAGTCATGCATCCAATTTTTTCCCTTTCCCTTCCCCGATCACATTCGAAACTTGGACGTTAATTCGCATTCGAGAGCAGCAAACAGAATGAAATCCATGCCCTATTGTAGTCATCACGGGGCAGAGGGAGAGCCTGAAGAACAAAAACCCGACGAGGAGTCTACGTACTGCGAGCGCGCCAGCAAGCAAGCAAGCGCCGGGGAGGCGCTGAGGACGCCGAGGCGGCAAAGGTTGAAAGGAAAGAGGTGAAGCAGAGGAGGATAAAGGGGCGCATTCGCAGAGCGGCAGCGGAGGAAAAGGCGAGGCAAAGGAAGGTAATTGCGGCTAAGTGGGGGAGCACGAGCGCAGCAGTGGAGGTTTTTGAACCCTCGCTCGCGAACACCGCGCTCGACGTCATCACAACAAGGTGGCGGCAGTGGCGGCGGCCGCCAAGGTCCCGCCCCCTCCTCCACAGGCTCCTCCTCCCCCTCCACAGTCGCAGGGGAAGTGGAGGACGGAAGCGCCGACCCGTGGCCACCGCCGCTGCCGTCGCCGCCATTGGCGCGGGCTTTACGAGCGCTGCGCAATGCATGCACCACACTCCATCTCCTCCTCTTATTTAATACGCTAAAAACAGTTTTGCGCCACTTACAAAAAGTATCACAATAATATAAGTATGGTACAGCCAAACAGAAAATACCACCTCTCCAGTTCTGCATTAAAATACATTTAAGAGGAAAATAAGCAAGCAAACTGAGGTTTGCAATCCATGGTGTGGGGGAAAACAGATAAAATGTACCCCACAACACACGCTACGCTGCAACACACTTCATCATTGTGCATAATGAAATGCTGAACTGAGGTTTTATTTCCTTGAAACCGAGATTTCGAGTTCAGGGAGGATCAGACGTTGTGTTTCTTATACTGCAGTATACACATAGGGGCCTTTTTGAATTTTCTATTAACTTGGGGCACGGTCTGTCAAATGCTCGAAGATGCGTTCTAGCATGAAGTTACTTTCACTTTAAAAACGATGATATGCAAAATGTGGAAAGTTGGTGCATCGAAAAAGATGGCATTTTGCAGGAGAACGGTTTTAGC